GTTATTTGCAATAAAACTGATATAGATTTCAATAAAAGAGGTGGAGAGCTTATTGAAGATGAAATTAAGAAGATTGTTACCATAATGAGAAATCTCAAATAGTAAAGATCCTTGATTGGTTTCTAACCAGACAGAAGCATGTAGAAGACGGCAAGCATTTCTAACTGATGTCTTGTGTATTAGAAAAAACCCTGAGAAGATCTTTAGCTATTAAACGGAATTACATCTCAACATGGTATTCGTGATCAGGCCATTTGATCATACTTTCGGTGTGTCATGAAAGAAATAACGTTATACCAAAATTATGAAGTATACACATAAGTTTCGCAAGCGTTACGCAGTCATTGCTGGCCATTACATCAGTACTTCATAACACAGTGTTATGAATGTATTGCTCCAGTGTATGTAAAGGTGGGAGTCAAAAAATAATTCGAGGACACAGTTGAATACTAATCGGTCATTAACTATGATCTATAAATAAAAACCACTTTAAAATCCTTTCAAAGCTCATGTTCTACATAATCAAGGTTTCAATTAATCAATTTCGAGTGGTTGATTTCGTTATTAATCTGTACGAAATTAAAATGTGGGAGGTGCTCAACTTTATATTGAATCATTATGTTGAAGTTTCAGCGCTCACGTATTTGACCATCACTACAACTGAGACAACACATGTTTGTCAGTGCTGACTGACTGACTGATAGGCTGGTTTCAACGTAGAACTTTGCAGAGATGTGCAGCAGTTCGAGTTGCTACACTCCCTGCTTGTAGCACACAAAGCAAGAGAAGAGAGTAGAGAGAGATTCAAAAGCGAAATAGTAAACGGAAGCGTGAGAGAAAAAGAATAGTATTTTTTTCGGTGTATATAAATCTAAAGAAGTGGATGCGTCTGCGCCAGCCATTGACAAAGATTTTAAGCCATACCACCAATAGTTTCCAGCCGCCATTAGTTCTTGCCATCGCGAGGACCTTAACCCGACAACCAACCAGTATACACCTCTCTACATGGCTGGTTTAAACTAAGTGTTATGGAACTCATTGACTGATCAAGCCATGTTTTGATTCGACCATCGCTGGCTCTTTTCCAACTTGATCCATCCTATGTCAGCTAACATTGCCCGTCGAGGGAGGCGATGCCTAGGCATGCGCAACTCATGTTCTAATCATTTAAATCGATGTAACTTCCCGACTTCGTCGATTGATTTTCCCTTCTTACTCAGCAGTCGACGCCTAACCTCAACACTACTCACCTTATTATACCACTGCGCTTAATTTAAACTACATTTCTTATTTTCAGATGGCCACAGTGCTTATCAATGCTAAACTGAAGTGTGTCTTACTGAATGTACGTAAAGTAAACGTTCTTTTAATAATAATAATTATTATTATAATAATTCATGTTTTGAAGACATGATTGAAAGAATGAAAGCTTCAGCAAGTTAGTTTTATTTTCTCGTGAATAACAGTTCATAATTAAAATGTCAGGAAAATTTATCTCATGTGTTGGGATATGTTGCCACCCACGACTATGCTTCTACCCAAGTTTTATAGAAACTAGCAAATCAGCAGGTTGCAAGCGTTTTAAGTACTCCTGAGAGTAAACAACTTCATCACTAGTCATCCTCCTATAGATTAAAAGATTTTGAACACGAGAAATTATATGCACTATAATGATGGAGGTTCTCAACAATTCAAGTTTTAAGCAGGCCACCAGACAATTTAAAAAATTTTTATTTCCGCATCGTTGATTTAGTGGACACTGAAACAATTTCCAAGGTTCATTTCCCAACCAACCTGTAGCAGATGAAAAGATCATTGGAGATCATAGAATACAAGAACGGACGGATCATGGGTGAACCCGAAGAAATCACAAAGGATCAACTATAGAACAATCATGTTTCAAGCAGAACAAGTTACCAATCAGCCACTACATAATAATAATGCCTAATATTATTTGTGGTGCATTGTAAAATTATCGAAACATAAAACAATTATATTATTATTGCTCCCTTGGATTCCTAGTGGAACATAGGGCTTCAACTGCACGTCTCCACTTGCTTCTGTCTTCTGCTGTACTTTTCACTTGCATCCATGTTAAAATATAAAACAATATTACGTCTAAATTTCTCTTTGCATTACATTCATAGGGAGATAATAATTACAGAGCTCTTTGATGTTCACAGCAACAATAATAATAATAATAATGATAAACGATACACAAATTACAAGAATAACAGGTACATCAAGAAATTCGTAATAATTATAGAGAAGAATAAAAATAGCCACTTATATAACTGTTGCAAAATAAATTAGTATCTTCATGCTTAAGGTTTCTTTCTGAAAATAAAAATGTATGTCAAATAAAGTGTCTTCAGTATTCGTTTGATTTTAAAAGTGATCATGCATTGACTTCGGCTAGAAAACCATCGAAAACCATGAAGTAGTGGACAGTTGATTCATCCTTGTCTGGGACTCTTCATTGGCACGCAGTCATGACTCCACGAAGGATCAAAACCAGGACCTTCAGTTTAGAAGATAAACTCTTTGAACATTGGGTCACTGAGAGTCCTGCGGACTCGAGATATATAGTGAAACGGTCAGCCAGTGTCATCGGCGAATATTTGTCCTCCCGCTTTATATAGTAGACCCTGTTGATCGTGACTACCTATTAGAATGTCTCATAAATTCATCCTGCTAGGTCTTGTTTGATCCCTGTCGGGGTCATGGTTACGTACCTCTGAAGAGTCCCAAACTAGAACGAAACAACTGTCAAGTACTCTCTGGTTTTCAATGTTTCTCTAACTGATATAAGCCTCTGATCAGACTTGAAGCAAATCTGATGCTTGCTAGTGAATGGCTACAGGATGAAATTGCCTGCAGTTGTACTGGAATTCATGACTAGTGGGGTTCACTCGATCGGACGTGAGAACAAATACTCACCAATGACACTTGTTGCTAGTCGCGCTAAAATCACGACTTGCAGTTGTTTGAATTCATAGGTTGACTACTAAGTTGGGTCCCAGTGGCTAAATGTTGTACTGTAAAAACAGAAGACAAGGGCCAGGCAACAGAACGTTTATTACGGAAAATCAACACATATTTATAGATTTTGATGTACATTATTGTAGGTTAATGTTAATAGAAAATACAGTTTGTTGATTGGTTGTTTCTCACACAAAGTTAACTTTGCATCTCTTGTGGCTGTGTCAGTTCATCTATATGTTAACTGTATCCGCCTGTCCATCTTGACCTTGTTTTCACATGACTAACATTGACCTCAATTACTGTCAACCAATTTGTCTAGCGACCATCTCTCACCCCAACATGACTAATACTTGATACATAAACACTGACCTCAATTACTGTCAACCAATTGGCTAGTAGACAGCTCTCACCACAGTACGATCTTTCCTTTTACCTAGAAGGTCCTGGCTTCATACTTAGTGGGTACGTACTTCCGACGCGCCGCAAACTAGGATGAACAAGGTGTTCAGTACTCCTTATCTGTTTTCAATGATTCTCTAGCTGATATCAATCCTTGGTCAAACGTGAAATGTCTGTGGCTAATTTCTTGCAAAAATTAAATATTTTTAACGATGGTGTCATCGCGTAGACTTAAAGATGCACTGACAGCTGATGGAGATTATCACAATGTAACATAGTCCATTCAAAGCAACCCACCAACTTTTAATAGGCAAAATGGAAGAGGTAGAAAATTATAGATGTAGAGATTGAGTTACCACAGAATATGTTGACTTGTAAAGTACAAAGTAAGACGAAATATGATCACAGAAATCAAGAGAATAATAGACAGTCAGAAAATATCAGAAGAAAGTTCTAACTCAAGATACCCTCTATGTTACAAGAATCATAATAGCAAACAAGCTCATGTAAAATTGTTTACCTCCTAAGGTGAAGTTAAGAATTCAACATTTGCAAGGATTTAGCTTGAGGCTATTTGATAAAGATGGCTGCCCAATTTGTGATAAAAATATATATTCACTTTGCTACAATCTATTTGAGAAGTGATAGGTTTTGAAACGGTCAGTTTGTCAATCTATTGAACAAAATTAGCGTCACCAGAACGAAAGCAAAAGTGGAAAACACGTCACTTGAGGGACACTGACCTCAGAAAGCAAGGCAGCAAAAGACTTTCCATTACGCACAGAGAACTGATTTCACTCAGGAAAGTAAAAAATTCAACTAGGTAGCAGCCTTGCGCTCACTTTCTCTTGCAACTTGCTCATTTAACAAAAGAGGTTCATGTGTTTTCTAGAAAAACGCAGCAAACGTAATAGTCCGACTACATACAATGAGCGTTCTTCTTCTAGTTTGGGTCTCTCCAGTATTACGCACCCAATGGTGTTCAAACCCACTACACTCCGGTTACAAGATGAACCCCAATATCATCAGACGACGGCATTGACTCGAGTGCACATAAATTCCAACTCCTGCGAAATTGCAACTGTCAGCTAATTTCTTAGCCGGGTGACTGTCCTCTTACCTGAGTTAATGGACTGCACTGGTGACGACATCTCGCCATAACTTCGTGTTTAGAGCAGATTAGTTCTTTGTATTACTTCTTTTTTTTTTACTTCGACATTTGTGCACTACATGGAGTGTGGCTACTTGGATTGTTTCACTTCTAAGCAAAGTTCTATGTTCCAACTCAGTCAGTCAGAATCTTACATCAGTAAGACATTTTCATAGAACTTTGGAAATAAATTTTCAAAATATTCTCTAGTACCAACAACATTGTAATAATTGTAAACAAGTTTTGTATCATTTTTTTATTTATGATGAAATAGTGAGATATATTAACTATTAAATCCTGGTACAGATTGTTTATTTGTCAAACTAAACTGGTGAATTAAAACGCCAAAATGAAATCAACCAATCACAATGCTCTGTTTTACTTAACCAATCAGATGCCAGTACAGTGTAAACCTATAATAAAATAAATTTTGCCATATGTACACATTTTATTTTAGATGAATTCTGTACATTAAAGGTCAAAAGTATTTCATACTCACCATGGAATGTATGTATGATCAATAAGAAACATTCAACATAAAATTGGCCTATACTTGTTATAAACATAGAGAATACTTAGAAAAAATATATATGGAACTTATCTTTATGCTATTCTGCCTACCAGTCTTATTAATCTTTTGGATCTTATAAGGAATACATTTTAACAAATATAAAAGGAAGATAGTCATAACCTTGTAAGTATTAACTATGCGAAATGTTATCATCTTTAATGTGTTTGATCACTATTGTTATTATGATTATTATTATTGTCTCCTTTAGTTCCTAGAGGAACATTAGGCTTAAGCCGCATCTCTCCATTGCTTCAAGTTTCTCGCCAACGTTTTCACCTGGCTCCACGTCTGTCAACATGCTTTCATCTCCTCTTCACATGACCTCCTCCTACATGTCACTCTTGCACTGACGGCAAACTCTCTGTTTCGCATTCGTGTGTAAATAGTGAGGTGATTTTACTTGGGAGAAAAGAACACACAGCTCAGAAAAGATCTTTTCAAGGATTTCATCCTCAGAAGCACCATGTACAGTCGCATTTTTATGCTCATGAACACAGATTTACAATTACTACTTAATCAAACATAGTAACGAAGGGTGATTAAGGGAGACAGTAATTTTCAACTTGATATGAAAGTTTGAAGGTGTCAATATAGATTATACTGGATTAGAAAATAGTTGCGTAATGCTTGAAGTAGATTTATAAGTAGACAGGTGTGAAAGGGATACGCATAGAAACAAACTGAAATAATAGTTTTTTTTAACTGTAGATGAATAATACTAGGAGAATGATACATATAGTGGGGACTTCTGTGGTGCAAATAAGTCGGAAACACACTTCTTTTGGTTGATTTTTTTCCACTTTGCTTCTGCGCTCATTAAGTTCACACCTGTCTCCATCATAAACTATTTTAAAAGTTACACAACCATTTTCTAATCCTGTAAAACTTATCTTTCTATGTCCCAAACGGTCTATATCCACACCTTCAAACTTCTATATCATGTTGGGGATTATTATTTCCCTTAACCTTCCTTTGTTATTATGTTTTATTCAATAAAAACTGTAAATATGTAAATCTAAGCGTCGGTGACACAGCAGTAGAGTGTTCACCAACTACACCTCATGTGGTCCGGGGTTCGATCTCTGGCCGGCGCACTCCTTTACCTCGCTAAGCCAGTAATAAGACTAGTAAAGAGGGAAGATTGGCATGAAGCTAGCAACTCCATCCCGTAAAAATAAATACCACTACTACCGAAAGTTCAAAGCTCTAGCTTGAAGCCCCTTATGTTACACTGGGAGTTTAAAAGAATAAAATAAATAATAAAAATGTAAACCTGTGTATAAAAATGAGACTGCACAGCATTTGAGGATACAGTCGTGGAGGAGATATCTTTGGTGAACCTTCTTATTCTTTTCTCTCTCATGTTCTGATGGATATTTTTCATCAAATTATTGTACTTCTTAACATGATGGTATCACTTGTAAATGTGTGGTTCAGAGATAAGGTACTATCCAAGTGTGCAGGGAGTAAGGGTTCGATTCCTGACCAATGCACTCTTAAACCTCACTCATCTTACTAGCCAGTAGTAAGCCGTGAAAGAAAGGAATGTGGAACATGAGGCTGACAATCCCACCCCATAAGAACGACACCTCTACAGAAAGTTCTGGCACTTGAAGTCCAGTGTAAAAAGCCTGTAAGGATCCATTTCAGTACATGTGCTATTACTGTATACTATCTTACCAAATCTTGGAATACACAGGATATGTTATTTTAATCACTCATTATAATTTGACTGCAGTGATGAAAGGAACTGACATTGTGACATTTCTAGAAAGTTTCTACAACTTCATAAGAGTCATTTGAACAACCTTACCTGATTTCTTTCAAGGTATCTTTTCCTGCCTATAGAAGATTCGATATTATGCACCTTTTTGTGTATTGTGTCATACAGAATCCATATGTTTGACTTAAAATTTACTAACCACAACTCGAAAAAGGATTAGTGGTCAAGTCTGCCACTTTAAAACAGAGTCATACAGGTTCATAAGCCATCGCAGAACACGAGGTCCCTATGAAGGCTCTCACATCTGGCTAATAAGTCCACAGGTTTGAAACCTAAACTGTCTGTTAATAGGCCTGTCGTATCTAGTGAGAGGTTAAACATAAAATTGATTTGCTAACATAACTATAGAAAAGCGTTTGCAGACTGTTAACTATGTCTCATATTTTTCAGCCATATATGTTAAAGAAAAATCCTTGTGAACTTAATTATTTGTGAAATTTAGAAATAACTTTAGGTATGATGGAGAAGATTTGTAGCTCAGGTGGATGATTTTGATGTAGTTATGTTCTCTGAGCTGGATGGTTTATTTGCGAAGATTTCATTGTCCCACTAAGCAACATCTTCAGCGCATACTTCAATTTGGTCTAGTGAACTTCTAGATTTCTCCATGAGCTTATCAGTCATCAAAAGAAACGAGTTAGACAAAACTCACAACTTAATAAACAACGTATTCAATCACATCAAATTCATAAGAGAAAAGGAATCCGTGAACAAAATCCTATTTTCTGACGTCTTAGTCAAGCGAACAACCACAATGGAATTAGAAACTCAAATTTATAGAAAATCAACCCACACAGATCAAGTACTCAATTCCAACAGCAACAATCCAATAACACACAGAAGGAGTTGCATACACACATTATTCAAGAGAGTCAGGACTCACTGAAGCACTCCTACCTTAAGAAAAATTGAAGAAAGATATCTCATAGATGTCTTCCGAAAGAATGGATATCCAAAAGACATATCACCACCAAGCCAACCTACCAGATCAAAGGCCCTCAAGGAAAGCGCAAAGGAAATCGCTCTACCATATATAAAAGACATCTCAAAAATCACTGCAAGACGCTTCAAACCTTTAGGAATTGATGTAGCACACAAACCAATAAAATCACTTCACTCAACCCTGTGTTAGTCAAAAAACTCAACAGTGAAAGAAGGTAAAACTAAAATCGTCATCTTCAGCGCATACTTCGAAGTATGCGCCGAAGATGTTGCTCAGTAGAGCAATGAAAGCTTCGCAACCAAACCATCCAGCTCAGAGAACACAACCACACCAAAATCATCCACCTGAGCTACAAATCTTCTCTATTATATCTAAATAGAAATTTAAGTTACAACAAAATATTCAGGAATTTTTAAATTTCGACTGTCGTCTTCCTTCTTTTGCTCCAAGTTTTGAAGTTTAAGTGGCATTTTCAAACAGACTGTTCCAAAATCAATAACTTTTCATCAAGAATTAGACAGTAATCCTCATCAAATGGTTTTCAGCTTAAGTCTTCTAAATGTCAGGTGGTTAATTTCACCATTCAGACGTGAACGCAACTTACATGGACTGGTTAGTTCGCACGCTTCCACTAAGTTAGATGGCACTGAAGTTGAAACAAAATTGAATATTAAGTACCTTGGACTTCGCATTTTCTGTGATCACCAATCCTGGTCTTTCCACATCATTTTACTTTCCAGAAAGATATTTCGTTTGACGTGCTATGTAAGGAAGTAAAGATCATCTGGCATCTTTCAGTCTCTACTTTCTAAGTTTGTTAATTCTTTTCGTCTGCCCATACTTCTTCACTGTTTCCTCTTAATCTTTCCCGAGCTACTGAAGAAAGACTTCGTTATACTGCGAAGGACACTAAAAGCCGTCAGTAGGGCAAGCGGGGTGCCGCCAAACCAACTCATTATAACTGTTGTAGATAGATACATGGATTCATGCAAGAAATTAGCGAATATTGTCTATACACAACTCTCTCCTTGCATTTCATCAGGTGGGGGAACTAGAAGCAACTATGAAGGACTGTATGCTCGGATAAACAAGTATAAAATCTCTACAGTATGTTATTTGGCACAGATTTTATGTGAAGAGAAAAGTGTAAGACAGGAAATCACCAAATTACTGAGGAACTTTAAGTAAACGTAATTTTCGTTTGCTCTCACTTTTATATCGTCGTTAATGTTTCCCCTTGATTTAATTTTATATTCACTTCTTATTGAACAATATTGCCAATATAAACGCCTGTTGCAATTATTACCCCTATAATGAGAAATTTAGATGCAATACAATACTCCTGCATGCTGAAAATTCCATATTTGTAGCAAAAGTACTGTTTGGAATAAAGCTACTATTGTAACAATGGAAGACAAGGGCCAGGCAACAGAACGTTTATTGCGGAAAATCAACACATATTTGTAGATTTTGATGTACATTATTGTAGGTTAATGTTAGTAGAAAATACAGTCTGTTGATTGGTTGTTTCTCACACAAAGTTAACTTTGCATCTCTTGTGGCTGTGTCAGTTCATCTATATGTTAACTGTATCCGCCTGTCCATCTTGACCTTATTTTCACATGAATAATATTGACCTCAATTACTGTCAACCAATTTGGCTAGCAACCATCTCTCACCACATTATTATTACTATTATTATTACCCAAAGAGTCTCAGTGTCGCAGATATATTCATGTGCAGAATATAACATGAATTGACAGTCATGATATTTCAGCGAAACCCGACATTGGAGTATCTAGCTCTTAGTTGTTGTACATTTTCATCATCAGTTCCTAAAACCCTTAATATCTGCCTTAGCTGCAGTTTCATTCAATAGTAAACTGTGACATTGAAAATCTCGCCGGTTGATTCATGTACACTATTAATCAGATGATGAGGTATGTGGCTAGTTTCAGGCTCTAAGACATTAATGTTGCGGATGATAAACCCTGGCTGTCATGAGTATTGTTACTGATAACTCATTCTGAATTTCAGCTAATTGAAATTTTGTTTGCAAACAGGTTATGTTGCAGGCTAACTGGTTTAAGAAGTGCTAACTTCATGATAAGTGCAGTAGACCTCTTTATTGTGTTCATTAGTAAACATTTGACTTGTATGCAACAAATGTAAACATGAGGTGACCTTGAATAGTTTGCTTTTTCTTTTGTCGTTTTCTATAACTTTTACTTAGCTAACAATTTTTTGAACTTTATCACTGTAAATTCAAATGGTAAATAAACGTGATATATCTACAGTAAATATAACCTGTTCAGGTACACTTCTTATCATAATGATCCGTTCGTCTTTTTACTCTTGATCAACATTATCCAGGTCGATCTGAGTATATATAAATAT